TTATATATTTTTTTAATTTATTTTCTCACTTTCCATATTTTTTTACAAGTATTTTGCACGATGGGTTAACTTTACACTGCAGCCCAGTTTTTCAATCTCTTTCCTTGTTGCCATTATATATACTACAGTATCTTTATAATGACCATTGCGGCTCTCTGTTTTTTAATTTTTAGAGACACTAAATTTTATAAAATAAATGTAAAAGCATTATAAGATACACAAAAGTATTTTACTATTGATGACAGATTGAAAATGAGAAATAAAGCCGAAAATTAAATGTGGTGTAAATGTTATTTAAATATGGAAAATTGTTCAATATTCATAAGTAATCTAAAAAAATTGTTACAATTGAGTTTTTAAAGAAGTGTCCGGTCCGGACTCCGCATTTTCGTCGGATAATGCTAATCTCCAATAAATCCCCAATCAACTTGAGATTCCCCCAAATTTGGGGAATTCCCCAGAAGTTGGCAATATTGATTATTTTATGATATGCATACATATTATATTTGATAAGCTTAGATGCGACCTTGACAATGTGACCCATTTAAAATATTTTTTATTATTTTTTATACGATTATAAATCTATCAGCATTTTGTATTATACTACTTACTTAGTATCGTTGCTAAAATCGATTAAACTTACGAATTGTTGCACCTGCTTTATAATACGCATACACTCTTCTATCGAGAAACAATTTGTAAACTACATTGCACTGTACAGTGTACACTCACATCTTATTTTCAACCGACTTCAAAAAGGAGGAGGTTCTCAATTCGACTGTATTTTTTTTTATGTTTTAATACTATATTTTCTTTTACATATCTATTTTTCTTTATGTAAACAAAGATTCTAGTTAAACATTAACATGCTTACAAAATGTATTAAGATCTTAAATACGCTAGCGAGTGCGATTTTTAAAATTTAATTTTCGTGAGAAAAATTTAGTACTAATTTTTGGTCAATATTTTATGGGTAGACAATTTAAGGTAAAATATTGAAAAATACTTTCAAAATATTTAATTATTCTGTTATTGTGGAAGACGATTATACCATATACAAATCAAGCGCTACCTTCGCAATAAAACAGTCAAAATTACATTTTTTTATAACCAAGATACCAAGTTTCCTTTAATTAAGCTCTAAAAATACTATAATTGACGTAATATCTAATATATAAAATTTCCATGTCACAATGTTAGTTACCGTACTCCTCCGAAACGGCTTTACCGATTTTTACCCAATTTTATATCCGTATTCAGTAGGTCTGAGAATCGGCTACTGTTTATTTTCCATACCCCTAAGTGATAAGGGTGGCCCACGTTAGGGACGAACCCGAGCGGAGCGAGGGTAAGTCGCTAGTTTCCTTATAATAATCCCGATATGTTAGGACAATGGGCGAGACTGTCGTCCGCTGGCGTGTGCCGCGCTCGTGTCCAGCACAATGAGCTCTATATGTGGTTTATCTTTCATCTCTGGGCTTGATCTTTTGTTTTTTATAGATTTGACGTACTTTTTACTGCACGGCAGTCTTGATATAAAAATAAATAAATATAAATATCTTGGGACATTAACACACAGCACCATCTAGTTTCATGGTAAGCTACGAAACTTGTGTTATGGATACCAGATAGATATATAAACACCCATGAATGGACTACAAACATTCGTGTTCATCACACTAATGAATGCCCCCAGCGGGACTCCAACCCGCGACCGCTGTCACAGCAAGTAGGGTTACTACAAACTGAGCCAAACGAATCGTTAGCATTAGCAAATATTGGCAAATGGTCCCTGTTTTTTCTCATCTATAACTTTTTCATTCTTTCACTTTCTTATGGTTATTTTTTATAGTACGTACTTATCTTCGTTATTGTATAAAGTACGGAAAAGGAAAACTATAAAGCATGAAGTATCTCTGTAAAAGTTTCTAAACTATACTTTCGTTTGAGCTGTGCCTTATAATATTATCTATATATCTAATAAACCTGTAACTAAGCCGAATTTGTACATTAAATATTTTTTTGGAAAATCTTATTGAAATAGACATTATTATCGATACAGAGGCCGAATCTATAGTTTTTAGAATTTATGTCTGTCTGTCTGTTACCGCATCACGGAAAAGCCACTGGAGGTATTTTAATGAAATGTGGTATGATAATAGCTGGTTCTCCGGGTCAACATTTAGGATACTTTTTACCGCGGGAAAATATCTCATTTCTGAGAAAAAATACAAAAACTGCAATGTACTCGTAAGAGTATACTAATATGTAAAACCTAAGAATTTGGTTTTTGATCATCTGAACGCGGGCGGAGCCCCTGGCAATGCTAGTATTATATAATTTAATCCCATTAATTAATTAATATTATAAATGCGAAAGTTTCTATGGATTTTTGTTACTCAATCACACCAGAACGGCTCAACGGACCTGGATGAAGTTTGGCACAGAGATTATAGTTTGGAATAGAATATAGGCAACTTTTTATGTCGGAAAAATGGTCCCCGTGGGATAGATCTATTTTTGTTTTTCACAAACCAAACTATCGACTATCTATTCCATACTAACCGTTAAAACGTACCTAGCGACGAAGTGAGTTTGCTTTCTTAGTACCTTTATCCGATTTTGCCAAAAAGAGATATCAAAATCGTTCTAACCTAATATTAATGTATAATCTGCCACTACTGATGTATCGGTACTTGATTGATCGACATTAAAAGTTAGTAGTGTGTACATAGTAGAGTTATATTATTGACTAGCGAACTCGCTCCGCGCGGGTTCGATCCTACTTACGTTTTAACGTTTAGTATAGATTTCTCAGTAATGAGATATTTTCCCGCAATAAAAAGTATACTATATGTTGACCCAGATGACCAGCTATCATCATACCAAACTTCATCAAAATCTCTGCAGTGGTTTCTCCGTGACGCGGTAACAGACAGACAGACAGAAAAATTCTAAAAAACTATAGATTCGGCCTCTGTATCGATAATAATGTCTATTTCAATAAGATTTTCCCAAAAATATTTCATGTATAGATTCGGCACAGTCAGAATTTTATTATATGTATAGATTCAATAAAAAAATAGGTAAATGTACACAGTAATAACAACGACGTAGGTTGGGCTAACCGCAAAATGTTTAAAAGACCACTTGCAGTACTTAATAATTTTATTAATCATTATAGGTATATTATAATAAAATTTACTTACAATAAAAATATATGGTATTATGTCCAGATGTACCTACCAGTAGTTCTATTCAGTAATATGTTACGCGATGATTGAATCAGCAAAAAAGAAAAGTTTATTTTATAGGAGTCGTGTGAAGTGTGATCGCGAATTCAACTGTAGAATTACATAAAGCTTTTTATAGTATAGCACTACATATATAAATTAGATTTTTAAATTGTCACGTGAGCGTCCCGCGGTTTATACTGCATATAAGTAAGTCGATTTTGATAGGTAATTATTTTTCTTTAAGTTGGATAGTGTGATACATAAATTATACAATTACTAGCAGAATCCGCGGCTTTGCTCGCGCTAAAACTACAAAAAATATCTAAAAGGGTAGGTTTCATACAAACTTTAATCCCTTATTTTACCCCCTTATGAGATGAATTTTGGAAATTGCTAAAACACCTATTTATTTAATTGTATTGTAGAGCATTAATAGCAAGTTCGAAGTAATTCTGATCATAAATATTTTTTTCGGTTATATTATAACGTGTTTTCCCATGGGAATGAGATAATCTCCCGCGGTAAAAAGTCTATGTCACTCTCCAGTCCTCCAACTATCGCCACACCAAAAATCACGCCAATCCATCACTTCGACGTGAAAGAGAGACAAACAGACAAACAAACAAACAAACACTCTTCCACATTTATAATATTAATATTAGTATGGATGACATATTGATCTACAGAAAACCAATCTCTTAGTTGATATTTAATTTTTGTTTTTCACATTAAATTTTTGACACCTAAGGCATACATACAATACTAAGTATATATGAATATTCCGGAAACGGAGCGTTACTCGGCTACGTAATTATATTAAATTAAAAATCTTAGTATAACCTTTTGTAATTACAAAAAGGTAGGCGTTCCAAAAGCGGATAATTGATAATAACAAGCTACAAAACATCCTCTCAATGCCACCACGTGGACGGTGGACTTGGTTTATTCATAAACTGCTCTCGGCGCGCGTTCAATAAATATGAATTCATATAAAATATGTGGAATGTTGAACGACATAAATCTATACATATAATAAAATTGTAACTAAGCCGAATCTATATATTAATATTTTTTAGAAAATCTTATTGAAATAGTCATTATTATCGATACAGAGCCCGAATCTATAGTTTTTAGAATTTTTGTCTATCTGTCTGTTTGTCTGTCTATCTGCCTGTGACAACTGGTTATCCGGGTCAACATACAGAATACTTTTTACCGCGAGAAAATATCTCATTTCTGAGAAAAAAATACAAAAACTGCAATGTAAGAGTATATTAATATGTAAAACCTAAGAATTTGGTTTTTTGACATCTGAATGCGGGCGGTGCCGCGGGCAAAGCTAAGCATAATATAAAATCATTTACTTATTAAATTATTCTCAGAATATCTGTCTCTCGGCAGTATCACGTTGGCGGATTTTAGAAAAGCAAATTGGAACGTTTGTAGAGTAAATATTCTAAGCAACTTTGGGTGTCTTCAAGTAATAATATAATTCTGAATTTGTTACAGAATAAACTGTAGGTAATTTTTTTAAGTACAACGTGATTCATTTTTTCATATTGTAGAATTGTAGATATACCTAATTGGACAACGCTCGTGTTCTCACATCCCTCACATCGCTCGGGTATTTAACAATGCACTAATCATCTAGATTCTAGATGTACTAAAATTTCATCACAAGCCGTTTCAGCGCAAAGGAGTAACAAACAAACACACATACATGAAACTTAGCATTTATATATAATAATAGTCCGTTTTCCTTACCTTCTGATACAAGAAGGGCCTGGTGAGCGCGAGGTAGCGTTCGAGCGCCATGGTGACCGCGATGCACACGCTGCCCACGCCGAACACCCGCAGCGCCACCCTCGCCGCGCAGTACGCCCGCGTGCGGCTCGTCCACGCCCACTGCTCGGCCACCACCATCGCGCACATCATTCCCACCTGTTCATAGTGATATATATATATATATATATATATATATATATATATATATCAATCATCAAGCAAACATTGCAGCCAAAACTTTACACATGGGATTTTTTTGTAATGCTGTATGCTATACACATAGCGGCGAAAGGCCCAGGATGAGACACTAGAGTTTCTCCACGACTCTTAAGTTCCTCATCAACGCTAGATCTACTGCCTATAACGTTCAAGAACTTCTGAAATTTTTTTAGAGGCTGTTTCTGGTTTGGTTTCTGAAAACCCTTTCTAAGTTGACACCTGTTCCTTATGAGTAATCTACCTGCCAAGTTTCATTGCATTATGAGTGCCAGTGAGTGGTATTTTGCTTTTTATATAAATTTTATATAAATACTAGCGACTCACCCTCGTTCCGCTCGGGTTCGTCCCTGGGGTGGGGTTTGGGAGGACCACCCTTATCCTTATCACTTAGGGGTATGGAAAATAGATAGTAGCCGATTCTCAGACCTACTGAATACGCATATAAAATTTGGTAAAAATCGGTAAAGCCGTTTCGGAGGAGTACGGTAACTAACATTGTGACATGGAAATTTTATATATTAGATTTCTATATAGATTGGGTTAAAATTCATTCTATACGTATGTATTATGTTATTCTCTCTCCGAAGAAGTTTCTTACTTGAATTGAACTGGTTCTCACAAATACATATGTAATACATACAAGTCTCCAACAACGCAATTAATTACTGTCTATTAACATGTATCTTGCAAAAAACCGAACATTTTACTGCAGCTTGGAAGCCCTAATTTTTTCCACAAACGTATCTTATTTATACTTTCCTAGCGATTCAACCTCGCTTCGCTCGGGTTGATCCCTAGCTTGCTTCCTAATACAAACTTTCATCCCAATTTTCACCCCCATAAGGGATGATTTATACATATATATTCTTTATTGCATATTAACAATTTCACACAGATAATACAAAGACCATGTGGGCATTTCCGGATAAAAAGTATCCTATGACTTTTCCAGGGTCTCAAGCTATATTCTTACCAAATTTCATCTAAATCGGTTCAGTAGATCCAGAGATTACCCCCTACAACGTCACAAACTCACAAACTTTACTTCTTTACAATATTAGTATAGATAAAAAATATGAATAAAAATTATTTACGATGGTTTAATGATATTTAATCATCACATACTGTCGTGCTCGTTTACATACAATTATTTATCTCTAACGTTGAATAATTCGAATTAACAAATAATTTGAATAAGCTATTTACCCGACTGCAAGGAAGAGGTTATGTTTTTTGCGTAAACTTGTTTTCATCTTTTTATTTAGCTTTTATGCAGTCGGGTTTTTTATTTTTATAATATACTAGCATTGCCCGCGGCTCCGCCCGCGTTCAGATGACCAAAAACCAAATTCTTAGGTTTTTAAATATTAGTATACTCTTACAATGCAGTTTTTGTATTTTTTCTCAAAAATGACATATTTTCCCGCGGTAAAAAGTATCCTATATGTTGACCCGGATATCCAACTATCATCATACCAAATTTCATCAAAATCTGTGTAGTGGTTTTTTCATGATGCGGTAACAGACAGAAAGACAAAAATTCTAAAAACTATATATTCGGACTCTGTATCGATAATAATGTCTATTTCAATAAGATTTTCCAAAAAATATTTAATGTACAGATTCGACTAATAGTTACAATTTTATTATATGTACATAAAGATTTATTTTTTAACTCGTACTTGCCCACTGAGTGTTTCAATCTTTACTACCAAAGCAAAAGTTATGTATATCTTATTTATGGACCAAGGATTTTTTTGTGTATAGGCATAAAAATACCTAAATGTAGCGTTACAAGTTTTGGAATAAATTTTGACTCTGCATACGATATCGGTTTATTACTGACAACATTACTAACGCGTTGCTACTCGTAAAATAGCTTTTTAGTACACTCATGCCCGATTTCACCAACAACCCATAAGGTACCACCTACGTATGGGATCCCTAGCTTAAAAGTTCCCTTAAACTATCCCCTAAATTAAATTTCGTTTTACGATCGTCTTTAAGCCCATATTTCGAGCTCCTAAATTTAGGGGGCTTTTTAATATTTAGGTGACCCCAAACTGTCGGTGAAACTTAAACTGTCCCCTAACAGCCCCCTAACCATGCTTAGGGGATCCCTTAAGCTTAGGTGACGTTGGTGAAATCGGGCATAAAGGCAATCAGAAATCAGTTTATAATGCATAGTACTCACCAAAGCTACGAGATCATTTGCAGCGAGGGATGTCAGAAGTAAGAGGTGCTTTCTGTTGCGCACGCGCCGCTCGCCACGTCTCAGCGTGATGATGGCGACGGCGTTTCCGATGATGCCGATAGCATACACGACCTTCACCACCAAGCCAAACATTTTGCTTGGCCGTCCAGCACCGCACCCGCCCGTCGCATTGTGCACCAAGTACTCAGTAGTATTGTAAAGTAAATCTGAAGTAAAAGAGCTCGTGTCGTACGACTCCGTACTAAATTCACTCATGCTGTACATGTTTATGAGTATTTTCAAACGTTCACACAGTTATTATGTTTGGCTTATTGATAGTCGCATTAGCGTCGAGTCGAGGAATGCCTTCGAAGCGTATTTTTCGCGAGCATCGCTCACTCGCCTAGATCAGCCTGAAACAATGAAAAAAATGATTAATGAAGAGTCTAAACTCATAGAAAGCGACATCACCCGCATTTATCCTATATCTTTATACGAGCAATTCTTGTATATATATTAATATATATAGGTACCTATATATAATCTGAATCTCAGAAACGGCTCCAGGGATTTTCATGAAATTTAGCGTACCGGGGGTTTCGGGGGCAATAAATCGATCTAGGTTAGTCTTATGTCTGAGAAAACGCGTGTTTTCGAGTTTTCATTCAGTTTTCTTTTGCATTATTCCACGCAAAATATGGTCGGTAATTTGCAAGCTCCGGTGTAAGCATCGTGGTCAAGCGGCCAAGGTGCAAGATCAACAATCACAGGTGTCCAGGTTTGAATCTCGATCGCATATAAAGTTTTTACTTTTGTTTTTTTTTATATTCATTCAAGTTTTTAGTTAAAAAAAAAGAAAATTGTACTTTAAGCCAAAAACTCCGAGAGAAGCTCGGTGACCTACTTTTTTATTTATTTCCAACTTGGTGTGGCTTATAAAATGCTAATAAGTATAAGCACCAATATATTTATTGATTGTGTTTTATAGTATTCAATACTAATCAAACCTCCTTAGGTGTACATACTGAATACGTTTTGTTATTTCTCAGTTGTCCATACATAAATGGCTAAAATAACTGAAAAATCTTATTTAACATGGACGAAGCCGGGGCCGGCTGCTAGTATTTTATATTTGTACAGAAGTCAACATACTTTAGGGCCAACATTAAAATCCTGAGTACCATAATTCAGTACAAGTGTTTCGTTTGAATGGCTCTTGTATACGATATTTTAAATGATTTTATATATTCTTGTTTGCATAGTAGCTACCAATGCTGCATATTTTGTAACGCTTAAAGCTTCATAATGCTAAACTTGTTTATATTTACTTTAGAAAGACTAAAAACTTGCATCTTTACTCCTTGGTCGTAGCGTCATGTTTTAAGACCACGTATTTACATGTTTATAAGGGAATCTAATAAAATAAGATTTTTTTAAAGTTGAAAAATGCAACGCATACCACCTGTATACATGCAGGTGATTACGTGGCATTCTGCGGCCAGAAGAGGTAGTACTACGAACTACCAACTAAAACCAAACGGTAGCTTCCCAGTCTTAAAGGCACGTTGTAGGATCGCTTACGCACTCAACCACGACGCCCCGACGGCTGAAGCAGACCATAACAATCATGGTGGTCTTACGGTTTACTCTGCTATCATAGAAGTACCCATCGAAGTGGGCTACCTTCCAGCGTGTCTTTTGGCTTTAAGCCCGGCTGGATTACCGGACGCTAATGAACGCCCCCACCTCGACAAGGTGAGCACATCGAAAACAAATCGATAAAAGAGATCGAGGAAGAGTAAAGAATAAGGCCTGCTAGAACTCCACGGTAAAAATATACGATATAGAAGACCAAGCTCTAAATTAATATAATAAAGCTGTAAAAAATACTTTAGCATGCTTTAAGCCTGTTCACATTTATTTTGAAAATGTTTTAATCGATCAATAATTCCTTTTCATATCGCATACGTAAGATATTTGTGTCAAGTGTTGTTAGTAAAGCTCCGTTTACACTCTACGAGTACATTTTGCAGGTTGCCCACTTCGGTGGGCGGTGTTTGTGTCGTGTGGGGCTGCTCCGGGTACTTCTCTGACCAGCAGAGTGGACTTGGGAGCAGCCTCACGTAGTGGGTTGACAGTCTTCCCATAATGGGGTTGTCCCGCTTGGGGCGGACTCATGGTTGGTGGCTTCGGCCAACCGTTGGGTCGTCGCGGTTGTATGCGAAAGCGATCCCGTGGCGGCAGTTTAAAAAAACACTCTACGAGTACATACAAAATGTATATCAGGTCAATATTTAGTCACATTAGTTTTATGTTTTGTTTGTAGTCCATTTTGTAATTAATCAAAGCAATGTCCAAAGTCTGTTCAGCCAATAGATATGATAGAGTAATGGTCTAACGACAGAAGCGCATCTCTACAGGATTTATCTCCCCGTGATACTGTAAAATACAAATTGTTTTATATTTTGTAGCAAGATAACAATTATCACAGCTATTTTTAATTATGGAGTAATGCAACTAAAAAATAATTTTGTTTATAAATAGAGGCGCCATGATAGAAGTAAATAAAAAATACATGTTAAATTAAATTTATGTACCTACTAGCATTGCCCGCGGCTCCGCCCGCGTTTAGTGACAAAAAACCAAATTCTTAGGTTTTACATTATTTATTATATTATGTATAGATTGTAGCAAAGAGGAGGTTTATGACTCATGTAAATCTCTGCTGTGAGTTCAAAAAGTGAGTGCGCGTAGTAAGATTTAAGACCTAGTTAAAATATTATAAATAAAAATACATACATATAGGTACCTAAAATGTCTCTTTTGATGTTGGTCAAAAATCATTATTGAATCATCAAAAACAAATCTTGCAATCTATTTTTATTTATAGTTTCCGACGTTTTGAATGCTTTATAACAATCAAACCGGGAGAGACTGGTGCCTGTGTGTTTAATACTCGAGTAATATCTGATTTACATCTGATTTAAATCCGAAAAGATAGTTTTATTTAAAATGTCAAATATTCGCGTAAATCTAAGAAAGTAGTATATATGTATATTATATGAGTATATAATAAAGTTATATTATATAAGCTTTGAGCTTAAAGCATGCTATTTTACCATATAGAGATTATTAGCAGCTCCTATACTAAATCTGGCAAGTATACTATAGGCAAAGAGTTAGGCACTATTAGTACACACACAGTGCGGCATCCAGCGTGCATTCCGCCTCGATTCTGTTTTCAGAGCTTATCTCAATATCGTGATATATCGCATCGCGATCTAAATTTAGAAAAAATTGCGAATTTATTTTTGTATCGAGTGGAAATAAATCGTAATCGATGTTTTAAATATTTGTATTATAATAGCTTCTTATTAGTTGCGATTTGTGTAAGCTCGGTATTGAACTGCTTTCTCTATTTTATACATATTTTAATTTCATCCGATGTTTTTACAGTTTTAATAATCGACATTTTACTACAAACAAATGAGTGGTTGTATACTGTATCTTAAGTTACAGTGTCAATGTATTAATTAATTTTTGAATCTATACATATAATAAAATTGTAACTAAGCCGAATCTATACATTAAATATTTTTTGGGAAATTTTATTGAAATACACATTATTATCGATATAAAGGCCGAATCTATAGTGTTTAGAATTTTTGTGTCTGTCTGTCTGTCTGTCTGTAACCGCATCACAGAAAAACCACTGGAGGGATTTTGATGAAATTTGGTATGGTGATAGCTGGTTATCCGGGTCAACATATAGGATACTTTTCACCGCGAGAAAATCTCTCATTTTTGAGAAAAAATACAAAAAGTGCAATGTAAGAGTATACTAATATGTAAAACCTAAGAATTTCGTTTTTGGTCATCTGAACGCGGGCGGAGCCGCAGGCATTGCTAGGAAATAAATAAAATATTGAATAACATCATAAAACTTTGTCCATAAAGGTTTTTTACAATATTTTTTCTTTTTCCTCACTGGTATAAATTTAGAGACACGAACATATACTTTAATTTTTTTCCATAAATACATATATAATAAGAAAATATGTAGATGGATAGCGGTCCTAGGCCCTCTTTAGAGGCGAGTTTAATCGAGGGTATCTAATTGTTAAGAGGGCACTCGCGGCAAAGAGCAGGGCGTTTATCCTTCACAGCCGCCCGAGGGAAGCTGTATAATGCACGATGCATCCTGGGGCATATCGCTAATAGTACCTGCACATCTTGTGATTGATCTCGTCTAAAAGTCTTGTTGTGAAAAAGAGTTTTATTAAATACTAGCAGAGCCCGCGGCTTTGCTCGCGTTAAAACTGCAAAAAAATCTCAAAAAGATAGTTCCATACTAACTTTCATCCCCTAATTTACCCCCTTATAGGATGAATTTGGAAAAATGCTAAAACACGTATTTATTTAATTTTATTGAAGAGCATTAATACCAAGTTTTAAGTAATTCTGATCATATTTTTTTTGGATCGCATTATAACGTGTTTTCCCGTGGGAATTAGATAATCTCCCGCGATAAAAAGTAGCCTATGCCACTCTCCAGCCCTCTAACTATCTCCATACAAAAAATCACGCCAATCTACGGATTGGCGCACAGAGCAGAAACAAAGCAAAAACTTTGTTTCTGCTCTGTGGATTGGCGTGATTTTTGTGACTCCGTTTCTACGTGAAAGAAGGGCGAACAAACAAACACACTTTCACATTTATAATATTAGTATGGATAGGGATATAATGAATAATCTATAGGTATATAGGATAACAACATTACATACATACATTATGTTTTACTTTACTAAATATACGTTCAATAGTACTATATTTATATATCTATAACATAAGTATCTAATAAATTAATTTAAAACTATAATATCCAATAGATATTCTTTGAATGTTTATTTTATGTTTGTTTTTCAACTGAAGGAACTAAATGTTCAAACTTTCTTTGGAATTGGTGTAAGAATGAAGGTAAAGGACAATTTTTTTAAGTACCTAATTCGATTTTTATGTATTCTGTTAACGTTATGTATTTTAATAATTTAATTGTTTTCAGTTTTATTACATGTATGTATGTAAATCATATGGTCTTGCAATGATACAGTATTATCAATTTAATGCAAGTTTTATAGTGTTACTAGCATTGCCCGCGGCTCCGCCCACGTTCAGATGACCAAAAACGAAATTCTTAGGTTTTATATATTAGTATACTCTTACAATGCAGTTTTTGTATGTTTTCTCAGAAATGAGATATTTTTCCGCGGTAGAAA